TTCTATTTTGAGCTTTTTGAGGAACCTCCATATTGCTTTCCACAATGGTTGAACTAATTTACATTCCCACCAGCAGTTTAGGAGGGTTCCCCTTTCTCCACAGCCTCGCCAACATTTGTTGTTGTTTGTCTTTTGGATGGCGGCCATCCTTACTGGTGTGAGGTGATATCTCATTGTGGTTTTAATTTGCATTTCTCTGATGATTAGCAATGTGGAGCATCTTTTCGTGTGTCTGTTGGCCATCTGAACTTCTTTTTTGGAGAAGTGTCTGTTCAGGTCCTCTGCCCATTTTTTAATTGGATTATTTGCTTTTTGTTTGTTGAGGTGCGTGAGCTCTTTATATATTCTGGATATCAACCCCTTATCGGATCTGTCATTTATGAATATATTCTCCCATAATGTAGGATGCCTTTTTGTTCTACTGATGGTGTCCTTTGCTGTACAGCAAATATGTATTTCTTATGACTCATTATATTGCAGCAACCAAACATCTAGAGAAGAAATATCAATTCTACACAGATTCTTCTGGGAAATAAAATTTCATGATGCCACCATTATCCTGAGAGCAAAATCAGACAAGATGTCACAAGAAAAGAAAATTATAAACCAATATATCCCTCATAAACATGGGCACAAAAATCTTATAACAAAACTATTAGTAAATCCAATTAAGCAGTATATAAAAGGGAGAAAGCACGGTGACCAAGGGGAGCTGGCCCCAGGACGGCAAGGCTGGCCCAACATTCTAAACTAAATCGATGAGAAAATCTGCATGATCACCTCAATAGATGGAGCAAAAGGATTTGACAAAACTCAACATCACTCATAAGAACTTACAGCAAACTAGGAATAGAAAGGAACTTACTCAACTTGACAAGAGCATCTACACAAAATCTATAGCTAACGTCCTGCTTAATGGTGGAAACCTGAATGTCGCCCCCATGGTCAGGAACGAATCAAGGATGTCCACTCCGATCACCTCTATTCAGCTCTGCAAGGAGGCCCTTGTGACGGCAAGAAGGCGAGAAAAGCAATAGAAAATGTACAGATTTAAAAGGAAGGCCTGATCCTATAAGTGGAAAAAACTCTCAAAATCACCAAAGTAGCTGCTAGAATTAATACGTTGACTTCCGCAAGGTTGAGGGGTCAAGGGTCAGTTGAGAAAAATGAATGGCACTTCCATATGTTAGAAATGAAACACTGGAAGTGAAGGTTAACAAAATTTAAAATAGCATTAAAAACATCAAATACATAGGAATCAGAATAATGAAAAAATACAGAATTTCAAGTAGGAAACTAAAAACTTGGCTGAGAGAAACTAGGGAAGGCCAAGCAAGCGGAGAGCGGCCCTATGTTTGCGGACTAGAAAACTCTGTGCTTCTAGGACATTCATTTTCTCCAAGATAATGTGGACATTCGTTGCAAATTCGATCAAAATTCCATCAGGCTTTTAAAAAGCCTTGACAAGATGATTCTAATCTGAAATGGAACTGCAAAGGATCTGGAATAGCCAAGAGAATTTGGAAAAAGTAGCCAAAACTGAAGGACTATGAAAGCTCACTAGGAAGCTGTAGGAATTAAGACAGTGTGGGGCTGGCAGAAGGATAGACAAGTGGGTTCATGGAACAGAACCAGGCTCCAGGAATAGACTCCCAAACTGTTCACATACGGTCAGTTGATTTTCAAGACGCCAAGCCAATTCAACAGGGAAAGAAAATCCCTTTAACAAATGGTGCTGAACGACTGGACATCCACATAGGAAAGATGGAACCTCAATCTGTATTTACTCATTGCACAAAAACGGAATCAGGATGGATCACAGGCCTAAACATAAAACTTGGAACTTCCTGGAAGAAAACATAAGAGAAAGTATTCATGAGCATGGGATTGGCAAAGATTTCTTTCCGGTCACAAAAAACACCAGCAACACAAGAGAAATTGATAAATTGGTTTTCACCAAAATCAAAATTTTCTACTCATCAAAAGACATACTAAGAAAATGCATAGGCAATCCGGAAACTGAGGGAAAAATTCACAGTACAATCTCTGACGAAGGATTTATGTTCAGAATATGTAAAGAGCACCAACAAACAATAAAAATAGAGACAACCCAATTTTTTTAAATGGGCAAAATATTTGAACAGGCATTTTATGAAAGGAGATGTACAATGACCAATAATACATGGCAAGGTACCCAACATCAGCAGACATCAAGGAAATGTAAATCAAAATCATAGCGAGATACCAGTACCTACCCATCAGAATGGCTAAAATCTAAGGACTGGTGATGCCAGCCAGCTATTGGTAAGGACATTTAGCAATTGAAGCTCTATTTTACCAGTGAGGATGTAAAATGATATGACCATTTAGAAGACTCTCTGGGAGTTTCTATTAAGTTAAATATGCATCTGAAAACCCCAGTAATACAACGCTCAGGTATTCCCCCAAGGAAAACAAAAACATGTCGCTGAATCAGTTTTCTGCTGCTGTGTAACAAATCACCACAAGCTTGGGGGCTTAAAACAACATCCACTGCTCAGCTCGTGATTCTACAGGTCAGACGTCCTGCGTGGTGTGGATCTTGCGAGGCTGAAGGCAAAGGTCAGCCTGGCCGGACTTATCTAGAGACTCACAGAAGAGTCAGTTTCCATGCTTGTTCAGGTTGGTGGCCAAATCCAGCCCCCGAGCTGTAGGACCCAGGTCCCCATTTCCATGTTGGTTGTCTTTCTGCTTCTAAGGGCCATCCTCATTCCTTGGCCCATGCCCCCTCCATCTGTAAACAACAATGGCATAGAGTTCCCTGAATTTCCCCTCCACCACCACTGGAGAAAACCCTCTGATTTTAAAGGGACTGTGCGATTAGATCATTCTCACCTGGGGGACCTCCTTTTACCATGTAATGTAACTTGATCACAGAAGTAGTAACTGACTGTATTCACAGGTCCCACTGACGATCAAGAAGGAAGGGAATGCTGGGCAAAATCATCAGGGACCAGTCTTAGAACCTGCCCACCACGGGCACAGAACACTTGAAGCCTCATTCATGAACCAAAGCCCGGAAGCCGATCAGAGGTCCATTGGTAGACAAACAGATCGGTATCTTGTGCTGTAGCCACACAATGGACATACTCAGCACTAGACAGGACCTACAGGTGCACATAACACAGAAACGTCAAAAATACTATGCCCATAAGATTGTTTCCCACAGCAGTGCAAGGGAGCAATTCTGAGCCCACTATGCACGGTGACTGGAATGGAATAATCAAGCACGTGGACAGTGGATGGTGGGAACCAGGCTTGTCCCTGTTGGTGTGGGGCTGACAGATGAGCGGGGAAGTGCCAGCATGGCCCAGGTGGTGACAGGTCTGGAGCTGGATCTCTCAGTATAAATTGTGTTCAGCTTCGTATAGATACAGATCTGTAACATGTAGAAATATTTATAGAAAGTATACATACACAGGTTTCTATCCATACATAGATTTCCTTGCCATGTCAGCTGAGAAGGACTATTAGGTGTGACACACCAATGGCAGCAAACACCCGGCACCCACAGATCTTGGTCTCTAACACCATTCTCCAATGAGAGGAACC